AAAAATTAGTACAATGTCATAAGGGAGTGCGTTTTCATTCATGAGTAGTCTTCGCTGATCCCCGATTATACAAACCAACACGCAGTTATGTTTACACAAAGTAAACTTTATTCGCTCAAACCTCAGCTCAGACATGATCATAGTATTCATTTCCAAAGACGTGTGGTGTCCCGCGAGAGCAGGGCCCGGCCACAAATAGCCGGGCAGCAGAAGCAGCATGTCCTTTAGATTGCACTCTCATACTCACAGGCCCTTTGGATTGTACCCGTTGGGTTGCACTCCCTCGTTGAGAAGGCCGCTCTCCTCCCTTTCTAAAGTTACATGCTAATTTCTCATGTGAACATCACTAGCCCCGGCCACTTCTTTATGACCCGAGGTCTACACCCATTTCAAACCTTTTAAAACATTCTGCCTCAGCAGCAGACCATGCTTTTACACATGACGGACGCTTGTGTTGCGCCTGAAACGTCGTGATTTATTGAATGCCTATGTGTCTTTTACTGAAATAACCAAAGAGTATATAATATTATAAACTATAACCTATCAATTATTACTCTATAAAATACTATTAATTGTTAGTGTATAATCACGTAAATGGAGGTATGGGATTATAATCGCATACGAATCATTGAATCGCACTGTGCTCATATTAGAATCAGAATGTGGTAGTACGTATGGTAAGTGAATATGCAAACACGGGGGTAGGATATGCAGGATTAGAATCGAATTACAATTATTCGAATCCCACTCGTATTAGAATCACACTGTGCACTGTTGGATGAATGTGTCGTATCAATGGAATCGAATCGCTATATACAGTATATATACACGTACAAAGATTATAACAATCACACATTATAACATTTATACAACGCACATTATTTTAAAAACGCATTTAAACATTTCCATTCATTTTTTTTTACTGAGAATGTTGTCCATGTGGGGAGATGGAGCGCAGTGGATCGTATCGTCTAAGCTGCTTTTCGGAATCCGTGTGATACCCCAGTCACATCGCCTAACTCCAGTGACAGCACCTTACCCAAGCTACATCTCCCCAACAAGGCAGCCTTACCGATGCTGTGTATTATGTTCATGGGATAACAGAGGTGTGTATTTTCCCATACGCCTTGCCCAAAAAGACTGATTATCCGCTTAACAGCCTAGCCCATAAACCACTATTGGTGACAGTGTTGTTTGAGAGCAGCTATTAAAGTCGATTTGGCATACGAGGTGGTGGCTGGCCAAACCATGCCTCGCTGTTTGTCTCCGGAGTGATGACGGATACAAACCAGACCAAGCGGAGACCATGTACCAGATCGGATTTTGGTTACTGATGTTAGAGTGATTGTATTGCAAGTGTGGCCACTACGCGTCTGTACGTGCTCACTCCCGAAGCTTGGCGGTTTTTGGCAACGCCACGGGGCTGCATTCACTTTAAATCGAGGACAATGGAGGGCATGGGGAACGTGTTTTTCCATTTATTCAAAATAAGCGCATAATTACACACTGAGATGCACTTACATATTCATGCATGAAGCACAATGGGCACATTACCCTTCGTATGTTAATAGACATGCAGATTGCACCTTCCAGAATTAACAATCGAATGCAAATATCCTGAAAGACAAAGGATTGGATCCTAGCGGGGGAGTTATAAGGCCGCTCAGAAGCAGAGCTTAATGCCATTTCGAGAGGGAACTTGATGAGGTTGGACGCTCGACTTGTCGGTCTGCTGATCACCCTTCTACCGCGAGACAACGCAGCCTGGCGAGCACAATTGCTGCGTCGACAGTTAGGCGACTTTGCGTCGGGAGAGTTCGTGGCGACATCTTTAGACGGGTTCCAGACATCGATATACCGTGAATCTCCAAGTAAGTGTCTATTTTCGCGGATAAAATCTTAAACGTGTTCGTCGTCAAATTTACGGGATTTTTTTTTGCGTCTCGGTTAGACGCGAGTGTCGTTCTTGTTATAGCAGTTAACAAAATCCAAAACTCAACGCTAAACATCATTGCGGCCGATAGCGTACTTTTGACTCGATAACACCGCTGCTGTTACTTCGCTCACATGGAGCAGAGACGCTCTCCACAGCCCCACGCACACGGAGACAAGAAGTCATTTAATTGCTCTGTGTGTGGGAAGACATTTTCATGGCCATCACATCTTCAGAGACACCAGAGAACACACACGGGCGAGAAGCCATTCATGTGCCCTGTGTGTGGGAAGACATTTGCAGACTCATCAACTCTTCAAACTCATCAGAGAACACACACGGGCGAGAAGCCATTCCTGTGCCCTGTGTGTGGGAAGGCATTTGCACACTCATCAACTCTTCAAGATCATAAGAGAACACACACGGGCGAGAAGCCATTCCTGTGCTCTGTGTGTGGGAAGACATTTGCACACTCATCATATCTTCTGAGTCATCAGAGAACACACACTGGCGAGAAGCCATTCCTGTGCCATGTTTGTGGGAAGGCATTTGCACAATCATCAACTCTTCAAAACCATCAGAGAACACACACGGGCGATAAGCCATTCCTGTGCCCAGCGTGTGGGAAGGCATTTTCACAGTCGTCAACTCTTAACAGGCATCAGAAGGTCCACAATGAATGGAAACTGAAATCAAAAGCTGAAATTCAAGGTGCTGCAATGAGTCCTCAAGAAGTTTCCACCTTCGATCCCATGCAGTTGGATCCCGAGAGATGGCTGGATGTAATGGAGTGGCTCGAGAGTCAACCAGAGAGCTCGGAGTGACTGAAAAAATATTATGTCATGTGGTTATACCTATTAAGCCGTATCGAGTACTTTTTGGTTATAATTTTGACCATTTATAGTTTTTGACGTGCACAGTGGTGGTTTGTAATGTTATCGGATTACTTGCCGAAGTGGTGTGATGAGCACTGGTTGTGAGACTGTTCAATTGTAGTCGTTAAGTGTTCCTGTTGAGCTAAAGTTGGAATGCGTATGTAGGTACATCTTTACTCAACATTTTAAACGTTTTTTTTCAAGTATAAAGCTTTTTTTATTGGTATTAATCAACTTTAGATAGCCGATTTCAGGATGTACATTGATGACGCGTTCGTTGGATATATGGCCTTGACTTCAACATAGACCCACAGTGAACAAATGTGGTGAACTAATAAGGAAATCATGGGGAATGATACTTTAACGTTTTGGTATTCCTGGAACGGAAATGGTTTGCATTGTACTGGAAATGTGTGAACATAGGACGTAATAAATATTCCATTCGAGTTTTGACGTAAAAATGATTGCAGATGAATAAAAACGTATTTTTAACAAATGTTTGTCCGGTCTTTATTTCATAATGTTCCTAGAAAAAACATGTTAAGAGAATTTCAGGTGTAGGATCTCCGTCACACAAGTGTGTCCTTAACCGGCAGTATCTTGGCTGTCTACCCGATTAAACACGTGTTCCTTGAGGGGAAATTTCCCCGTAGTTAATCTTTCATCAACGTACCAGTCCCTAATCCCGAAGTATGTCGGGGATAAACTGTACTCTATAACATGTAAACCGTAATACTATAAACTATAACACTAAACATTAAACGATTATAAGCTAGTGTTTTAATTCATAACCATATAAACGGAGGTAAGGTATTATTATAGCATTAGAATCACAGTGTGGTCGTATAAGAATCTAACACTGTTCAAATGTATGTATATTGTACGTGCAAGGATCGGATAAAAAGTATTACAATTACAACATGGTCATATTACAATCACGATTTTCACTGCTAGATGTCATCGAATAACAAAAGACGGAATACATTTATATAAATACACGCACAAACCCATTATAAACTCATCAGATTATGAATGGTGACAATTATTAAAACAATCACAAATTGTGACAAAGCGAAATTCCCACAAGCAAAACACCACGCTCACGTGACGAATTCTTAAACAAACTGCAATACTCAAGTGACAGAACTCAACAAAAAAACGCCGCAATAAAAAAAACAACATCAGTGGACAAATCGTAAAAACAGACAACACAATTATTTTGTTAAGGCGCTCTTCCCCCCTTCCAACCCAGCTTTAATATACGCTCCAAGCCTGGTGGTGTTTCATTCAGACGCTGTCTCTCCGACAGACCTGGTTTTCACCTGAGGACGGCTGCTTACATTGTGGCCGAAACGTCGTGAGAATTATTTTATTACGTTTTATTTTTATTATTTGATTACCTCCCTTCTACGTGACTTTACTGAAAGAACCAAGAAGATGTATGTATGTAATATGGACGTGCGAACCAAGGGTTGGATATGTGAAACGGAACGTGCAGGATCAGGATGGGATTAAAATTATTTGAATAACACTTTGGTGGTATTGGTATCAAGCTTTTCACTGCTGGATGAATGTTCCATCTAAATGGCATCAAATAGCAATATTCAGTATGTATATATAAAATTATCGCACAAACCCAATATAAGCCCGTGCAATAATGAATCGTTACAATTGTAATGACTCGTTTGATAAAAGTATTTGATCAAAGTTTGTTATCCCATCACGGAACACCACTGGAACTGAAGCATATTAAGCAGCAACAACATGGGGTCTGTGCAGAAGTCGGGGCTCGGAGTCAGGTGGAACGGGGAGCCAGGGGCAAGGGAGTCGGGATAGGAAAGAGCGCAGCGCCAGGGCTGGAGGTGGCTGCGCTCCTCGGCCGGCCGTGTTGGCCTGAGCCCACGGCCGGCGCAGAGGAGGCAGCACGGGGCAGCCGACTGTGTCGGGGGGACCAGTGGGACCGAGCCCGGCACCCCTCACCCCTGGGAAGTTGGTACACCTGGTGTATGTCAATAACTTTAATAAACCCTCGGCGAAAGACCTTAAACCTCACATTCGTCTCCGAGTGCGTCCTGGGAACTTCTCTACATATGTGTAATAGTGTACGGGCATGTGAACTGTGCTCGTATGTATGTAATGTGATTCGGGCTCTGCTCTTCATTTCTTCGCCTGGATGGTGCCGCAGGACGCAGCATCTCTGAAGGTGTTGCAGTTGTTGCTGTTGCAGTTGTTGCTGCTCCAGTTGCTGCAGTTGTTGCTGTTGCGTTTTTGTTGCTGCTGTTGTTGCTGCTGCTGTTGCAGTTGTTGCTGCTGCTACTCATGAATGAACTCATACTTCTTTCGGATAGAAATTTGAAATAGTGTTGGTAGAACAAGTCGCCTGCCTTTTCTAAACGAATTGTTATCTTCAAGTGCGTACGTAAATAAACTGCTAAAATACACAGCATAGGGAAGGCTGCCTGGTTCGGGAGATGCAGTTTGGCTAAGGCGCTGTGGCCGTGTGATGACACGGATTCTGAAACAATGGAGTTAAACACTCGCTGCTTGGCCCCGTCGACAGCAGCGAAGGCTGTCATATACCGCCCCAATTACGAGTTGGCTGTATAATGTGTATAGTTGAAGGTGCTATTTGTTGAGTTCTGTCACTTGAGTGTTGCAGTTTGTTTAAGAATTCGTCACGTGAGCGTGGTGTTTTGCTTGTGGGAATTTCTCTGTCACAATTTGTGATTGTTATAAAAATTGTAACGATTCATAATCTCATGAGTTTATAATTGGTTTGTGCGTGTATTTATATAAATAATTCCATCTTTTGTTATTCGATAACATCTAGCAGTGAAAATCGTGATTGTAATATGACCATGTTGTAATTGTAATAATTTTTATCCGACCTTTGCACGTACACTATACATACATATGAGCAGAGTGCGATTCTTATACGACCACACTGTGATTCTAATGCTTCTAATGATATTATAATACCTTACCTCCGTTTATATGGTTATAAATTAAAACACTAGTTTATGATCGTTTAATGTTTAGTGATATCGTTTATAGTATTACAGTTGACATGTTATAGAGTACAGTTTATCCCCGACATACTTCGGGATTAGGGACTGGTACGTTGATGAACTATTAACTACGGGGACCTTTCCCCTCAAGGAACACGTGTTAATCGGTTAGACAGCCAAGATGCTGCCAGTTCAGGGCACACTTGTGTGACGGAGATCCTCCACCTGAAATTATCTTAACATAGGAGCATCATAAAATAAAGACCGGACAAACATTTGTTAAAAATACATTTTTATTCATCTGCAATCATTTTTACGTCAAAACTCGAAGGCAATATTTATTACGTCCTATGTTCACACATTTCCAGTACAATGCAAACCATTTCCGTTCCAGGAATACCAAAGCGTTAAAGTTTCATTCCCCATGATTTCCTTATTAGTTCACCACATTTGTTCAATGTGCGTCTATGTTGAAGTCAAGGCCATATATCCAACGATCGCGTCATCAATGTACATCCTGAAATCAGCTATCTAAAGTCGATTAATACTAATCAAAAACAGCTATATACTTGAAAAAAATCGTTTAAAATGTTGAGTAAAGATGTACCTACACACGCATTCCAACTTTAGCTCAACAGGAACACTTAACGACTACAATTGAACCCTCTCACAACCAGTGCTCATCACACCACTTCGGCAAGTAACCCGATAACATTACAAACCACCACTGTGCACGTCATTAAACTCTCAAAAAAACTATAAAACTAAAATGGTCAAAATTACGCACAAAAGTACTCTATACGGATTAATAGGTATAACCACATGACATAATATTTTTTCAGTCACGCCGAGCTCTCGGTTTGATCCTCGAGCCACTCCATTACATCCAGCCATCTCTCGGGATCCAACTGCATGGGATCGAAGGTGGAAACTTCTTGAGGACTCATTGCAGCACCTTGAATTTCAGCTTTTGATTTCAGTTTCCTATCATTGTGGACCTTCTGATGCCTGTTAAGAGTTGACGACTGTGAAAATGCCTTCCCACACACAGGGCACAGGAATGGCTTCTCCCCCGTGTGTGTTCTCTGATGGTCTTGAAGAGTTGACGACTGTGCAAATGCCTTCCCACACACAGGGCACAGGAATGGCTTCTCAACCGTGTGTGTTCTCTGATGACTCTGAAGGTGTGATGACTTCGCAAATGTCTTCCCACACACAGGGCACAGGAATGGCTTCTCGCCCGTGTGCGTTCTCTGATGAGTTTGAAGAGTTGACGATTGTGCAAATGCCTTCCCACACACAGGGCACAGGAATGGCTTCTCGCCTGTGTGTGTTCTCTGATGAGTTTGAAGAGTTGATGAGTCTGCAAATGTCTTCCCACACACAGGGCACAGGAATGGCTTCTCGCCCGTGTGTGTTCTCTGGTGAGTTTGAAGATTTGATGAGTCTGCAAATGTCTTCCCACACACAGGGCACAGGAATGGCTTCTCGCCCGTGTGTGTTCTCTGATGATTCTGAAGATGTGATGAGTGTGCAAATGTTTTCCCACACACAGAGCACAGGAATGGCTTCTCACCCGTGTGTGTTCTCTGGTGTCTCTTAAGACTTGATGACCATGAAAATGCCTTCCCACACACAGAGCAATTGAATGGCTTCTTGTCTCCGTGTGCGTGGGGCTGTGGAGAGCGTCTCTGCTCCATGTGAGCGTAGTAACAGCAGCGGTGTTATCGAATCAAAAATACGCTA